TTGGTTTAGTGTAACAAATATGGGTTGATTTATGTTAATAGATCAGTAGTCAGTAGTAGTGGTATGAGTGGTATGTAGTAATAAGTGTTGGTAGGTTATGCTGTATACGTTAGTTGGTACGTGTTAGTTGCATTTCGTTAATGGTTATGTATTAATAGATACGTTACTTGGTTAATTGGTACGTGTTACTAGATAGGTGTTCGTTGGTTTAGTGTAACAAATATGGGTTGATCTATGTTAATAGATTAGTAGTCAGTAGTAGTGGTATGTAGTAATAAGTGTTGGTAGGTTATGCTGTATATGTTAGTTGGTATGTGTTAGTTGCATTTTGTTAATGGTTATGTATTAATCGATACGTGTTGGTTAAGGTTAATTGTTACTAGATACGAGTTGGTATATATACATTAATGTTTGGTTGTTGTTACAAGTCAGTTGATAATGGCATGTGTCTGATAATTTGTGCTAATGGGTTCCATGCCCATCCGACGTATACAATGCGTATACAATACGATGTTTGTTTGCATGGGACGATGGTGGCGCTCTACATTACATATTTCGCCAGCGGCATATCTCAACGATTCGAAATTGGCATTGGTCAAAAAAAAAACATCGATATACACGTAGACAATAAAGTCATTATGTCTGTGATCATCCGATTTATTATTCAAAATATTGTACAAGATGTACGTACAATAAAACAGAATACAACAGAATAACAACAGTATGGCAGACCATAAAAATCGAGCTAGATTTAATCATGTGTTATTTCGAAACACCTGACATCACTTCATGGAGTACATTTATCTTATTTTTTTTTTATTTGGCTGAGCGTACTTGTCAGTTGCGTTTCGCCGATTGTTGTCAGTCATTTGTTTTGTGTTCTTGGGCTTGTAAATTTCCCTATTCACGACTTTTGTTCGGTTGGGGATTTTATTTCCACTTTATTGATTCCTGTTAATTATATATGTACATTGTTTCATGAACGTTGACGCGAAGAAGTTTTCAGCGCAGAGAATACGTTCTATCGCCAATGTATTAAGATAGAGAAAACTATTGAAACTGCCATAACGTTACAAATAGGTCCGTACCCTCTCTTTTTATTTTGTTCAAAAATATAGTCCCCGACACGTCGTACGTTATCGAGAAATCGCTATTGGTAATCTATTCGCAAAATAGAAATTCATTTTATAAAAAAAAAAAAAAAATCATCACAAAGATGAGGTAAAAATTAGTTATTTAAATATTTAGTATTTTTTGCATATATAGTATATTTTATATATTTTCATATTTATTGCCACGCCTCCTTTACCCTTCCATGCTCAGCTATTAGTCTGCCAACACCTTGGATCGAATATTGTCTGCTGTTTTGTGTAAAATGTAATATATTATAAATGTTCCAAATATAAACGGTGATGCTATTAAATGGACTACTAAGTATTTCGTGGAAGGCGGATTAATTTATAAACAGTAAATTAATGTACATCATGCTTAAACCGTGGACCACAACATCATTATATCACCATGTTTACCACGAAAAAGGGTGGGAAACACGTTTTTATGCCTGCACAATTCTGGACTAGTATCTCATGAAACACAAATCAGGGTTATGCCCTTGTACCAGTGTAATGTAGTGGCCATCACGTCACTAGGTTCGACCTATTGATAAATCACCCTGGTAGGAAAGTAGGGCCATTCCGGCATTGTAACAGCGCTAACACTGCTGTGTCTCGGTGACAGTGGGTGATCACGTGTGCGGGATTTCAACTCATCAATATTCAAAACGGCTAGATAAAAAATTGTGAAATTTAAAAGATAATTCGCTTCAATGCATATACTGGTATGTGAATGTCACTTGACTGCATTTTAAAAATTATATCCTGCGGCAAAACAAACGCACGTGGGCTGGGACAAAACTAACAAACGCCAGACATCGACACTGATAATTTTTTTGATACAGAATATTTAGAGAGAGATAATTGTTAATGACCTCACTCTTAATCTATGACGCGTGAAATCTTACTATGATGATGGTGACGGGAGACATTTACAACCTGACCTGCGGGGAATTTAACCCTCGATTTAGTTGCGTGAATTTTGATTCTACTGTGTTGGGTTTGGAGCACCACGGAGGGCGCAACTCACGCGATCTTGTCAGGCTACATGTTTTTGTTGGTACATGAAATTTTATAAAAGCCTATTTGGCAACCAGTTTCAAAAGCTGATATGGTAATATTGTGTAGTCCATGAGTTCAACTGGTACAAAAAAAAAGTGTGAAAAAATAAATAACTGTCATATGCATATAATAGAAAAATACCATTACGCTTGAAATTTACTAAATTGAATTAACTTTTTTCATTGGGATAAATATGAATTTCACCATAGAAACTAAGGCAATTTTCCATGATATTTTTCACACTTGTTTCTCAAAACATTGTCTTGTGACTTCAATTTCCTGTTTTATTTTTCCGTATTCTACGAGCATTAACACATAATGACAGCATGGAGAAGTCATGTAATTTTTAATTTGGCTTAAATCTTCTTAGTGTTATTTTTCAGTAGATTTATATTAGACCATTTTCCGTTCACTGCGAGAATCACGCATTATGCGTAAAATCGAACGTAAAAACAGGACAAACAAAGGTCATAGCGTCGTAGTGGCGTCAAACATCGAGTGGGATTCGACAAACGCGAAAATATTTTGGGGGACATTTCCATGCTTAATGATGTGCTGTACACATTGATGATAGACAATTTCGATTAAGTGAGGGTATTCGAAAGCAATATTCCTCTGTCGAAGATCAGCCGGTCGATGTGAGCTACGAAATAAAGGAATTCGAGTTCAAAATCAAATCGTTCGATTTTTGCGGCAGACGTTCGACGCGCGTCTTTCATGCATCTCGCGAGATTTCGCAGTTGAACTGAAAATCACCTATTGTTGTTACCGTAGCAGGATATGCGTGATAAGCTCAAACATCTCGTATTTAAAAAAAAAAAACATATCCAGCTTAGTAATTTGGGGGAAATGGATCTCAAATTATACTCTCTCTGTCATTGGTAAAATGTAGATTGTTCTCAAAATTTACAATCACGTTTGCGTCTTTTTGCTTTCCCTTCTCAACTGTGAATATTAATAACACTTTAAATAATCCAGTAAGGACGCAGTCAAGGAAAAGATTTGATGGTCCGTGTGCATTGGTAAACTGCTAATTTCGAGCTCTCTAGTATATATAATGTACATCGCAAATGCAGAATATTCTTAGATTCCTACAGATATGATCGACTCAATGATAATAACTCAAATGCTGGAAATATTGACTGAGTGGAAGAAATGCTAAAACCGATCGTTGTATTATTTACTCGGTTGTGGGACTTGAATGTATGGTGCTCAGGTACAGGTGTAACACACCGGGAAGTTCGAAATCTTCCACGTGGATACATACACTAAACATTCAAAACCTCACCACATAATAAAATAAGCAATTTCATTTACTTGGATGTGAAACAAATAAGCATTTTTAACTTATCAGTTATATCGATCGTTATCATGTCACTCTGTTGCGGAAGACGTGGTAGATCTAACTAAGGTTGGGCTACAGGGGCGTCAAACACCGCGAGAACAATGTTATTCAACTAAATAAAAATAATAATAATAATACTAACCCATCTTGAACCGGAACAGCATACATTTGGTAAGGGAGATTCTTTGGGTTGTTTGTAGGTTTGATATCCATACTGGTCGGTACACTCGCCATGACAAGTGAAAGGCATTGATCTTGAATGTTTTCTCTACAGGCGGTGACTAGTCTCAACTCAGGATCTAGGCGCCTCGAAGCACATTTGCAGACAGTAATAAATAAATTAGCCTGTGAAACAAATAAACAGGTCAAAAGACAATAAATACTATTTATTTATTCATTTATTGGTTAGTATGGAGCATATCTCACTAAAATTTGTAAGAAATCTCAAGATTTTGGAAAATATCGTGTCGGTCGTCTACTTTAGCTCGTGGGCGTTTTTACTGGCCGTGTATATTTTTCAGTTCAGAGTGAAATTTGGGCGATACTACATGTACATTAAATTGCCACAGTTTCCGTCTGTCCACATTCATGATTACATAACCGCAAGTATCGACTGTGGAAGTAATCACGGTACGTTCTTATTTAGTCTCTAAAGTAACGTACTAGAATCCTGGACTTCAAAATACAAACTGAATCAATACCACGTCATAGGTCAATAGGCGGTCGTTCATACCCTGGAGTAGCAGCGCGTCACCACGCAATTCAAGAAAACGTAGAATCTGAATTTAAGAAACGACTCACATAGTTGCACGAAAAGTGCGTTTTTAACCCAATGCCGCTACACACTTGCTTCTATCGAAGGCATTTTGAACTGTTATGAGGTCAAATCGAATTTCGAACGAATCTCCCACCATGCAGTGCATTGTTTGTAGGTTTGCACATACCCTCTTCCGATCATGAATCCGATGTCAATACTCACCTATATCCTACTTGACCGATGACCTTTCATTCCTGATTTAATTATAATTCACGGCCCGTTATTATACTGTACTTGTGTGCGACAATTAAGCCACTACGCTGATATAAATTCAACTCGAAATTCACTTTTTGGAACCAATATGGAGAGCGACAGAGAACAATGCGCAGAACACTGCTGCGCACGTAATTACATATTCATCGCGTATTTGCGAGAACACCTCGACGTCACTGTAATCACCCAATGAACGCGGTGCTATAACCTTTGAAGGTCGTGTTTGCAAATGTCCATTCACTGGCTTTGCAAAAATGAATGTTTTTTTATTTCACAATGGCATTGACGTCTCTAAAATATGTGTCCTCATAGTACCCGTGGGCGAACTTGTGTTCAAATACCCGTATTAGTCAACGCAGTGCAGTTGGTAATGTGTGTCACGCTGTACTACTATATGTGTAGACAGCAACCACGAACGCGCAATGCACTGTGGGTGAATAATAAACAAAAAGCCGGCCTACATAACGGAGTTGACTATCTGCGCAGATGTCCGTCAACTCTAGGTCGAGGTTTTCAAAACGCGGAGTGCTACCCTGTCTTGACGAATACCCATTGACGTTCGTACTGCCTGTCGTAGAGGGGAGTATCGAAATACGAACAAATACACTGACTGAGTTTCCGATTGAGCCATGGTCGTCCGAATGTAAACAAATAACTCGATGAACTCAACAAATCTGCTTTTTGTGCAACACTGAATGCGGAAGTTAACTGCTGTTGCATAAAACATAGCAAGGCTAGGGTGCACCGGAATACGATCCTGTATTCGTCAATCATGCTGTTATCTGGATGTATACCCATTATAATTTATGCAGTACATCGTTTCGCCATTTCACGTACAGTGTCATGTGTACATAACACGGTGTTTACAGCCATGATCCACGACTGTACTACAACGAGTTATATGAGTTCTCGGGAACGAGAGGCACACGTGTAATTACAATGATTGTGTTATACTGGGAATAGTCTCAATAAAATTATTCCAATGCATGAACTATAAATTCAGCTTATATGTGATGTTTTTAGTTTCAATGAAACGGTAATATATTACACAATAAAATTATGATTGTACTTTTAATTTTTAGGCATGTTTTGTCATTTCATATTTTATATATTTTTAGTATACTATTGTGTGTATGATTAAATTTCATTTTTCACAAGAAATTTAAATTTACATGCCAGGTCTTGCACGTGTTGATAAGTAACTAAGTTTGGAATTTGAATAATGAACATAAAATAATCAATGCAAACAGTTGTATCACAAAGTTTAACCATGTTTGTTGGAGCTTGGTGACTTGTCAAGATCAATCGACCTTTTCTTGCGCGAGTCATTCCATTTTTCCCCGGCCTAAAATCGTCATGAGAACACACGTTTTACACCATGTCAGTACATCTCCCATTTTGAGGACAAAACGCGCAGTGACAGTGAGCCTGCTACAATTTATTGAATATCACGCGTGTTGTGATGACGTGGCGCGAAATGAACAAAGTATCACCGTCACGTGATTGTTTTTGCTGGCAGGCTGCCAACTTGATGCCAAGCCATGATACGAACGCCTCCTGCTGTCTGAGAGCCTGTCGGGTTTGCAGACTGGAAGTCACTACAGTACTGAACCGTGATACGTATTATCATGGAACTATAAACTATAGTTCCATGGTATTATCCTACATAAATAAAACTGTTCAGTTTTAAGCGAGGGGGATTACTCATAAATACAAATTTATGCATTCATCATCTGTTATTGTCATTGTTTTTTTAATACTTTGCGATCAGTGATATGCTCTCTCATAATGATTATTTCGTTGAAATTCATCAATACGAAAGTATGTTGAAACCGAGATGAAATACTTTCGCTCTTTAACATTTATACTATTGTAACGTGCATTACGAGGAATGTAACCTCCACTGGTAGTGGTAGTTTATTGCCTAAGTTGTTGCTTCTTCAAATTTGTGTTTATTTTAAAACTGAATATTGTTGATACATGTGACTCAGGTGTGTGATGTAATGGCTGTCGTCATGGTTACGGACATGATGGTTATATATATATATAGCATTATATCAATTAAAAGTTAAGATAAACTGAAAAGTCTACACGTCGATAAAAAGGCCCAAGGAATAAAAGTAGGCCCAGATATATCCGACTGGACACATTATTGTCCAAACCCTTGCGATGCCTTTAAGATTACGTGACAATGATTCATACTGACAATAAACAAGTAAATAAATATTATTTTTATTTATGTTTTTCTCTTCCACAATGCAAACAGTAACCATGCTATTCTTAGTTGGTACATGGTGAGTTACGTATTTATTTTGTTTAAATCACATGTTTGTTTGTTTTTTTGCATTTTTTTGTTGTTGATATTTTTGACCGTTAGTAAACATACAAATACCAATACTATTAAGTTGTATAATGGACTACATGTGTACAAAAAATTAAGTGGGTATTTCAAAGATATATTTTGGTAAAAGTATGTCATGTCACATACAAATATATACTGTAAAACATGTCTTTTTCGCGAATTTAGCGTGAGAACTGATTCGCTAATTCAAGATGTCGCTCACGACTTTATTATCAATTCAAAATGACCGCCAAACAAAGAAATCAACAATGACAAGAGAGATTCGCTAAATTAGAATTTCGCTATTACGTCATTTTACCACAATTTGCTAAAATTGCATGCCGCTTTTTCAACATGTTTTACAGTACTTTAAGACATAATATATGTGCCACATTGGCACAGTCACAATAAAGGCTACCAAAATTACTGTCATCATACAAACAAGCGCTATAATGCAGGGTTCAGTGTTGCACATACGAATCGAAAGAATATTTTCACCCATTCACCCATATGTATAATTTATTCAAATTTTATACCAAGGCAAAGATTATTTTTTTTTAATATTACGCGCACATAACACGTGATATATTATGCCTTTTTTTAAAATTAACATTTTCCCCTTATATAAACCTACAGCGATCAATTTTATTGAATATAGCATAATACATAATGTATTGTACGAAAGCAATTGACATTGACACGCCGCCGGGTTTTGATTATCAGTTTTTGTTTTATTAATTTCCGGCTGTGAAGCGGCCGTCTATGACGGTTACTAACGAATATGCTTTTTAAAAATGCATACCTTTGAATAGGTTAGATTGGCATACCGAGTTTAATGACCCCTACACCAACAGGGAGGCAGTGACGTCACTGTCAGCTGATGTGCGACATATCATTTTCACGTACACACTGCGCATGCACGGATTTCAGTCTTTTCGGCTTTGCTGTGAATTCTCGTTCATTCAGTGTATACGTGTATGTGAAAACCTATGTCAGCGGTTGTCAGCACTGTTAATCTACGCTGCTCATATCGTGACGAGTTAACTCAAATCTGTCGATGTTTCTACACCCGCACTGACAGTAGCTTCTGCCGAGGCACACTGCTGTGAATGTTATGTACTTTGCGGAGCCCGAAACGCAGTCGATTACACTGGCGATGTTGCATATTAAATGGACGCCATTATTACAGTACGTAGAAAATGCTCGGAATCGTCGTGTAGTTTCCATTAACATGTTTATTTTGTAATGTATGGTAATTTAGTTAGTACACCGTCAAATACACCACGCGTACGTCGCGTGTATTTTACTGAGTTCGTTCACGGGTAGCTCGTATGTGGCAAATCAATGCAATACGAGTGGTTATCCAGTCACACTGAATGCGTGTTTAAATTATATGCAGTGCCATTCATCGACCGAATAGCGAAAACCAGACCTGCTCTTAAACGTGTTGTAGGTTGGTATGTGCCCACATCGCCCCTACACAACAGTCGAATGACGGCGAATGTACAAGTGTATGGACGATGTACGGACATGTATATCGGAGGCGTAAAGCTGTCCACCGTCTGTCAAATCGAACTGTAAACAAAACGACATGTGGATTGAGTTTAACAGGTGCATCATGGGATACAAATCTAGTAATGTGTATGCACGGATGCTGAACGCAATAGTAAATACTGTGTCACGTGATACAAATGATACGACCATTGCAACTCAGGCACACTGGGACTAATATGGTTATTTTTTACATCATAAAAATATATTTAAAAAAAAAATGCCGTTTGTTATTTTAGTTTGTAGTATTGATTGGTTACTAGCCAACATTGGTGAGTGGTAGAATATTTTGTACATACTTTAGTGTGATGTGGTTAAAACTACTAATTAACAGTCTGAATTTATAATGAGGGTTACAACGCCATGTGATCTTTAACGAAAATAATGTACTGTATACGGGTATCATACAGGATGCGATGCGACGAATGTAGGTGTTTTAAACATAACCTTGAATGTATATTGTCTTTTCTTATTTTCTTGTTCTTAATAATGTGATAATGTATAAACCTATACAAAAGACTTGATTGGTCGTCGAAATTTCTTGAGATGGTTTAAAGAGGTTATCAATGGGATATAAAAAGACAATTAACCTGATAGCAATTTACACCTGAAGTTGTCAAGCGCTTGTCACGTGATCGCACAGAAGCTTATCACGTGATTAGCGCAGTGATAACCCATGGAAGCATGTTTAGGGAGAAGCCTTCTCATAGATGGATATATATAAAAATTGTGATTGAACAAGTCTCGGCGGCCATTATACTGGTGTTTGCGTCGATTAAGGTATATTTTATGTCAGTCAATGATTGAATAACTTTGAATTACTATAGATACCATGGGGACTCATTTCAGAATGCGCGTTTCAGTATACGTGAGCGGCAAATTTATAAAAATCCTAACACATTGTCTTTGCTCATAAATAAAGCCAGGAGAAACAACAAGTGAAGTTTATTTAAAAAAAAAACAAAAAAAAACCATAAATAAAATTGTTTGCAATGCTACCAATAGAACACAAAACACAAAATTATCACAGTAAATCACTCACAAATGTGTGTCCGATGATTCACATACATGCAAGTCGTGTATTTAAAGTTGTTTGCAGAGACGAAGTGGTGTTTGCAAGAAAACATCCAAAAAACGGACATTTTGGGACATTTTTCAAAGGAATCCATGTAAGCACATTATTCCATGGATAACTTATTATATTAAAAATTCTCCCATTCCTCTT